TAATGATTAGAGAATGGCACATTAAAAAACTTAAAACCTGGAAGAGGGGCCCTGGAAGAAGGGTGTTGCCTGGAAGAGGGCTGAACCTTGGAGAGGGTTCGCGATCATAGGACATGGTCAAAATCTCCGAAGAAAGTTCGGGTCTTGATGTTGAGACTTGATGATTCCAAAACCGTTTCGGATTATTCGTTCGAAATTTTGCCCGGCCAGCTTACTCCAAATGCTCACCGGTTCTTGAATTGTTTTGTAAATATTTGTGAAAATTTGAAAATCAACCCTTCCCTTGAGCTTTTCCTCCATATGTACGAAGTCTTGCCCGGGACTAGTAACTGCCCAGGCTTCGTCTATTTCCATTCTCGTAATAAGAGATCTTTTGTGACCGGTCTTCCTCCTAGTCACAAAAGATGGAAGAAAAGATTTGTTTTTGTTGATTTCCCCCTGACCAATTTCCTCTCTCAAACCCTGAGTGGGCTGACCGGGTTATAAAACCTGAAAGGGTTCAACCGGAGCCCACTAAAGATCTTGAGGACGCCTGCGAGAAACTTCTCAAGGGTGATCTTGTGACCGGGAAACCTTATGCCTATGGTGGCTGGGTATTCCGGCTAGCTAACCCGGATGGGGGTGCGTCTGCGACCCATGACGCTGAGGATAACCAGGCTGATTCCCCGGATGGTCACGCTGAGGCCGGCTCTCCTCATCCAGGTTGGTTAATTTCCCTCGACCTTTTGATTCCACTTTCATTTTGATAAGGTGTAAAATCTAACCGGTCACTTTGTTCTTTTTGGCAGACATGAACTTCAACAGGATGACCACCATCATTGAGGATGACGACGATGATGTCCAGGTCCTCCACTCCAACCGGTCTCCTCTCTCTAACTCTCCTGGAATGGATGGGGCCACAAGTGCCCGGTGTAGCCCTATCCATGAGCAGAGCCAGAAGCTGAAATCTCCTTCAGCTAGGCATCACTCTGAGGTTGACCGGGCTAATCCCCCCAAATTCCCGGTCCATTCAGGTGCTAAAGAGGTCGGTGCATCTTCCTCTTCAAAAGCCAAGGACCAAAAAAGGAAGAGCTCTCATAAGAGTTCCAGGGGAGGCAAGAAGAGGAAGATTAGCTTATCAGACAGGGAGGGGGAAACCATCGAAGAAGCCTTCCTATCCCTGGCCAAAAAACTCAGCAAGGTATTCCATCTCCGCCTTTCTTCCCGGT